ACACACACACACACACACACACACACACACACACACACACACACACACACACACACACAAATGGATGTGAGCCGTCACAGCAGCATCACTACTCTGCCACGCTCAGGAAGCCCCTTATTTGGTTCTAGCTGTGATTGTCCACACGCTGAAACTCTGCGACTCGTGTCCTCTAAGAGTGAAAGTGACTCGACACCCGATCGGTCATGATTTAGCATGTCGTAGCGTCCACTCACGTTGGCGCTGGCCGCGGCGTCTGAGGCGGTACGTTTCTTTGCCGAAGCAGAGTCTGTGGATGTACGGGCCCAGCTGCCKCATGTTCCTCACCCTTCCGGTCACGACCATCTCCTCCTGGACGATGTAGGTCTGAGGAAGGTACGTCCCTCTCTGCGACAGAGAAACACTAATGAATCACTCTGTGAAAATGAAGACGAGCACACGCTGCCCTCCTCTCTGTCTGACAGGCGTTCATATTTTAAAAAACATTGAGTGGCTCACCTTGACGTTAATAAGTAGCTCCCACAGGCTCCGTGGAGGCATCACCGAGGTCGTGTTCAGCTCAGTGATGTAGCATTTGTCCAAGGCAATGTCGTGATAAGCTGTGAGACCCTGGAATGAAACGAGGACAGGATGTCAAGTCAAACACTTTAAACACAAAAAGAACGGTGCACCTCAATCCAAGGAGTCAGATTGTGGAATAATCTGGAAGATGATGTTAGAAGTGCCAAATCAATGTATATATTTAAGAGAATGATAAAGGCTAGATATGAAACAGTTTAATATGTAGCCAATTTGTTGTTCTGGAAAGATGTCATGTTTTTGTTTTGTCTTATTAACTGAAGATCATTATAGTTTGAATTTATACTTAAGAAAAAGGGGCAGATATAAGATTTTTTTCTTCTCTCTGCCGCCTTTCATTTCATTTTATTTATTTATATATTTTTGTACATAGAATTAATTTTGTTTTATGGAATGAAAAAAGTTTGAAATAAAAAAAAAAAGAAAAAGAGGACGTGGAGTCAGAG